TTTGTATGTTAGTTCTCGCGCCATATCCCAAAGGGACGCATGCGCTTAAATGATTACAATCAATCAATCAATCAATCACTTTCGTGAGACCAGAAAGAGGAGAGAACGCGCTTAGTAGCTTACTATCTCAACTCAAAGGCGACCCATCGCAAGTGCGAAGGGACGGCAAGAAAGAGGGTTGACAATAAACGAACATGTAACGCAGGGGAGGGGGAGGAAGAGGCCGTAGAGTAGGGGATGCGCCATATCTCAATGGGACGCATGCGCTTAAATGAATTCAATCAATCAATCAATCAGTCACTTTCGTGAACCCGCAAAGATGCGGACACCCTCCTAGAGAACCGTTTCGATAATATCAACTTGATAAGTCAGTGTGTCTCTTACAACCAGAGGTAGTAATAGAGGGTGACGTATTTTACCCTTCGTGATGGCCAGTTCGTCGAGTGACCTCTGAACCACTCCCGATCCAGCGGGCTCACCATTCCCTCTCCCGATCTCACTCCTCCCATCCCTCGCCATCTATCATCTTAATAATCCTTCTATCTCTCCCTCGCGACCATGCCTCCTCCCGCTGCCATCTCAACTCAGACCCGGTCCCAATCGACCAGAACAAACATCCACTCCGCCAGCAACCCTACTTCCACGAAAACACCACCACCACCTCGAGCCACGACGGCCCTCATCAACACCCTCAGCTCCTCGACCCCCATAATCGGCGAATCCGGCCCCTTCCGCTACTCCCCCAAACCCGGCTTTCCCCTTAAGAATGTCCTCCCCTACTGCCACCCCGACATCGACGCCTCGACCATCTCCTCTATGTTCCAATATGCCGCACGAGTCCACGGCTCAAAACAGTGTTTAGCGTACCGGACGGTGGTCGGGAGAGCCGAGCAGACGGTGCGTCAGGTGGAGGTGAAGTATACGGAGGAGGGAGAGTATTATGAGGTTGAGGGCGAGCCGAAATTGCAGGTCAAGACAATGCTGAGCGATTGGAATTGGTGGACGTATGAGGAGGTTACCGTAGCGAACAAGAGGTTGGCGGCGGGGATGATATGTATGCTCCGGGAAATGGGCGTGACTCGTCTGGAGGATAGGGATGCTCCATGGGGGACGATGTACATGTTTGCGGACTCAAGGTAGACGCCATTGTGGTTTGGCGAGGGACGATACTGATGAGAATAGCCCGCAGTGGTTCATGATGGCTCATGCCGCTGGTATGATGGGAATGCCGGTGGTCGGTGTCAACATTCGCCTTGGAGAAGCCGAATTTATCTACACAGTTAATGAGTCCGCGCCGACCGTGTTGTTCACCGACGCGAGGTCCCTCCCAACGTTCTTGACGCCGCTTGTGGAATGTCCATCGATCAAGTTGATTGTCTACTTTATCAACTCGTCAATAGAAGAGGATCTGGAGCGTTGTAGGGCGGATGTTGAGACGATCGAGATTGCGTTGCTGGGATCTGTGGCGGTCCAGAGTTTCGACGATGTGTTGGAAAAAGGACAGATGTATTTGCTTACCCATGACGACGTGATGGTAAAGGACCCAGAGCGTGTGTGGAGCATCACATATCCGCAGAGCCATCTCCATCGCAAACCACCAAAGTCGGTGGTGCACCAGGAGAAGCAGATCATCGCGACCGGTGAGTTATTCCGAGGCAATCCATCGATCCGATCCTGACAGTTCGACAGTGGCGGCGCTGGCTCTCCAGATGGACGGTCAATGGAAGAACGACGAGCGATATCT